CAGACTTCAATCACTGACTCCTAGCCGAATGGGACTCAAACAGAAAACCACACTCCAGTTAGGAGGAACAATACATAGGTGCATGTGAAGGTGACTGGTCTTTGCTGATCTGCTACACTGAGTGTGACCAGACCATGTGGCAACTCTATATGGGGGAAGCTAGGGCTTAAACAAATGAACAGGGGGGCACACTACTAGAAAAAAAATCAAGAACTCTAAACTTAAGTTAAACATTTTAAAGGGGAACTACTTCTATGTAAAAACGTGTACTTAATAACATAAACATTTCTGGCTCTGCCACATGTACACAGCACCTGAAGGAAAATACTGCCAGAAGCAAGGCTGCTTTCCAAGCAATCAAAAGCAAAGTACAGAAGGAGATCAGGTTATGAAGAATGACTGGTGGAACATGAAAGCTGAAGAAATATATAGAAAGGTTCTATCAGTGTAACGGCTCCCAAGCAGCCATATTCGGACAGATATTAAGGAAATTTCCAATAGATGGAAGGAATCCTACCAGAAAGTCTGTGTTGCTGTAAGTCATCCCGAACCACAACAGACATGATATCTGCACTAAGACAACTTCAGGAAAAGGCAGTTGTCATACAAAACCAGCCGTTGTACATGCATCTTTGAAGACTTCTCAGAGGCCTACGACACTATGGATAGGGGAACGCTGTGGAAAGTGTTACAAATTTATGGATGTCCTCCAAAATTTATCAATATTATGAAGTCATTCCATGATAACATGACAGGCAGGGTGAGTTCCCAGTGTGCCACGGAGTCAAACAGGGCTGTGTTTTGGTCCCCACCCTGTTTAGGCCTACGCTTTAGGCCTATTTAGCAGCTGTGCTAAATATTGCTGACGTAAACCTCACCAAAGGTGTGTACGTGCGAACATGTCTGGATGGTAAACTACTCAATGTTGCACGTCTACGATCATCTTGTCAAACAAGAAAGGTCTGAATTAGAGAACTGCTCTTTGCTGATGATTCTGCTCTTTTACCTACGTCGCTAGCACCCAAGAAATTGTGAACCACTTTGCAGCTGTTGCCACGCAGTTTGGCCTAAAAACATATACTACCAAGATCAAACTTCTGTTTCAACCATCTCCATTAGACAGTCATCCACAGCAGCCACGATTGCAGGTCAGTGGCGAGGTGCTCTAGTGTGCTGAGGACATCGCGTATCTTGGCAGTACAGTCACGAGCAAGAACAGTGTAGATTTAGAGATTAATATTAAAGTGTATAAGTACCGCCTCGAAAGCTTTTGGGACCCTACAACAACGTCTCTGGTCAAGAAATGACTTAAAGTTGGAGACCGTAACGCCAGGATTTACAACACTGCGGTACTACCATCACTACTTTATGCTACTAAAATGACGCTCCACGGGAAATATCAAAAGACTAACAAGAACCCAAGTAAGACGTCTACAGCAGATCCTGGGAATCAAGTGGCAGGACAAAGAACAAGATACGGCAGTCTTGGAAAAAGCAGGAACAATTGGTGCTGAAGCCATGATTACTGCGTTAACTCTCAGATGGGCTGGGCATGTCAGGAGGATGCCAGACCACAGCTTCCTTAAACTTGTGTTCTATGGTGATCTCTGTGAAGGGAAGCGGATGCGGGGTGGTCAAAAGCTACGCTTAGGCTTCCTCAAGCGGCACTTAAAGATTGCCAATGTGGACGTTGAAACATGGGAAGACCAAACAATGTCCAGGCCAGGGTGGCGTGGAGTCGTACGCAGCTCCAAGACAGCAGTAGAACAGAAGCGCCTAGATACCTATCAAAGAGCTCATGATGGCCACCATGGTTGACCGGCAGTAGATGGCAACACCTTCTCCTGTGCTGGCTGTGGACGCAAGTGTTGTTCATGTGCTGGTCTAGTTGCACATGCACAACAAGTGCGGTTCTCCTGGTGACGTGGGTGCCGTATTTAATTCGTGCAGGTTTCTATCTCACCGCAGGTGGCTCTCTGATCTACCAAGGGGGCATGCTTCCTGAAACAATCGACTACCTTTTATTCGTATTGTACATCAACAATGTCACAAACCCACTAATTTACGGGATTGCAAACAGGCGATTCAGACAGGACTGTAAGGATGTCGTCGGCGAGATTAGATGTTGTTGGATGCAGAGGCGTTCTTAAAAACAATACCATCTACCTGACTGTATAAGCTACATGTATTGACTTATAAAAGCCTGTGCAAGGTAGACCTAATAGTACAGTTCGAGTTTAATCCGGTCACAGTATGGACTCCGTTATTGGCCAAGAGAGGGTAGTTTAAGCACCAAGCAAGTGGCTCAATTGGCGAACTTTTATTGCTAGCTGGGGGTCGGAAACGGTCTTTTTTTTTCATCTCAGTGCGTGAAATAATGGGCCGCTCTGTTTTCCATGGGTAGGGGTAGCACTTGTGTACGTGATTTTTGTCTTAAAAATGCAATTCGCCCCACACAAATGGACACTCGAGGTGGGAGGCTCCAGGAAAAAGATGTGAAAAGAAACTTGGGTGGATAAGTCTTAGATGTGTCATTTTCCGTGTGAAAGCTGCTCACATTGCGTTTGAAATGAAATGATTATGTTGAAAGCATCTGGTAAACGAGCTGAAGAAAGAAAGCTCCATTGTGGAAAATTAAGAAATGGTGGAGTGAATCATAGTGAGTTTATGACTGCGTACAGATATTATTGGGTGGAGGAGAGTGCTACTTCCAACCAGAAGTCCTAAAAGTAAAGAGACGCCTTTTATGAGCCCCAAGCTAGACCAAGAGCTAACGCAATAAAGTTTCCTATGGCAACAGAGGCTCCTTTGGTGGGAACTGCTCCAAGCTGTTACAGTCTCGTCGGTACCAACAAAATGAACACGCCCCATCAGCATGGATCTTTTCAACCGATGAAGGTGGTGCTTCTTAAGGCGGTTTGTTCACGTATACATCGTAGACATGCGGACTGCATAGTTTTCATTGCACGTTGAGGTGAAATTTATTGTATAATTATGACGTTGTATAGCCTTTGTTTAGACGTATCTCAAAATAGCCTAAAGTAGTAAACAAAAACAGTGCACGCCTCTTCAAGCTACACGGCAAGGATTCCATAGAATCCTAATAATATATACAGTGCGTGTTTTGATGTGTACCCCAATTCCAAAGAATATAGTATTGAAACAACATGAGGACCATAAAACTTGAACCGCATTTACAGTAATGTTACTGTAATCTACTGTTGTTAAAGCTACAAAGGAGGTGCATGTTGAGATTATTTGTTTTCATTTATTATCATTCTTTGGATGTTATTGATAGCCTATTGGCTTTTTTATTTAGCATATCGTAACAATTAAAACGTGACATGACTTGTGGAGTACACGCGATATAGCATTACAACAACCCTTCCTATGTATTCACTGTGATAAAGGAATCTTTTCCAGTAAAAACACAAAATACATGTCCACAAACACAATTTCTCGTCTGTTTGGAGCATTTTCGGGCTGAACTTCTGCCATTTTCAAACAAATGCATTTATGTTCATGTGACGAAAAGTTTATAAAATGTAAAAGAAACATTTGCTGCAAAAATGCTTTCCGATAACCGGAGGTGTCGCGTCGTGTGAAGGGAGGGCATAGACAAGGGTAGTCCACTACCTTGACTGCGTTCGTGGCATTTTTCTAGATGTGCGTGTCACATCATTCCACATGTCAATGCGGGTGGGTGTTCCTGTACAAGTAATGTACATGTACATGTATGAATTTTTCGCACAGGGCGGTGAAAGAAACGACGAACAACGGTCAGTGTGGACTAAAAGTAACATATGAGCAGATCGAGAAGCATATTTTCATAGGCTATTGTTGTCTTGGGAGGGGGGGTTGGGCCAGAAAACTTGGAAATCTTTGTAGCTAACCTCTTTAAAGGCCTCTCTGAGCGGAGAGGCTAAATCTGAAATTCACTTTGAAACTACTGTCCCCTAAATCGCTTTGCCCCCGTAGGTCCTCACCAACGGATCTGCAAATAGGTAGGCCTACAATAAGGACGAAAGCGTGAAGAGGGAGTGACCCGTCAAGAATCTAAGGAAGAAGAAGGTATTAAAGAGATAATAAAATGCTGAGATTTGAAGTGGAACTTTAATCAGAGACGTGGAGTCAGATAAAGGGCACGACTGCTTGAAAGGGGCAACGATGCGATATGGAGGAGGTGGGACGGGTTTGGGCACTAGTGAAGAGAGTGAATTAGGTTGGCTTCTGAGGGGATTTATGAGCATGTTTTGCTCGATGTTTTTGCGCTTCTTCTGTCGTCAGATGTTTTTGCATTTGTTCGTATTCCTTAGCCAATAACTTGTCCCCTCCGGCCGTTCAGTGGCATATACAGCCAACCGGGGGGGGGGGGCACGGGCTCCCCACAATTTCCTGGTGCCCCCCGATCCCCCCCCAAAAAAACGGAAGAATGGGTATTGAACAAGGCTAACAAAAACTTGCCCCCAAAAAACCATATCAATGAAAGCCGTCCCCCCGCCAAGATACTGGTGCCCCCCCCACTAGTGAATCCTCGCTACGCCACTGCAGCCGTTCCCAACTCAAAAGCTAATTCAGGTGCTGGATCGGTCCATGATCGGCCCGATATGCCTTTGTAAGAATATTAGCTGCACTAGTTCAATAATGATGCTTCCAGGCGCTGGATTGCAGCTCGGCTTGGACAGGATGCAAGCTTCTCTGGCTATGGTGACGCCCCTCTCAACGATCAGATGTGGGAGTTCAAAGTTCAAACACGGCTCTATTCAGTACTATTTTTTTCTGCACCAAGCATCGGTCAAAACATGCCTCCCGAGCTTCTTAGGTTACGTATAAATTAGCTTTTACGCATGCGCAACATGTCTGTTGACTGAAAAGCGGTGTAGATAAAAATTTACTGTGCTTTCATGCACCAGGTACCCGGCGCCGCACCGCGCCATATGCATTATACGCATATCATTACAACATAACACGAGCTATCCAGATCGCACGTACGCCTGAGCTGACGAGCTGTCGGGTCATCGGGAGGCTGGGCAATTCGGGAGTGCAGTAGATTTGCTCATTCTCTCTTCATTCGAGTCGCTATGGCAGCCACACCGAAGTCTGATTCAGATAGACAGAAACAGATCAGTGTCCGAGGGATTGCTGAAGTGGAGGATGTGACCAACTTCAAAACTTCGTTCAACCGGCATCTTCATTTCAGGTAAGATGAGATTGACCTAGAGCTAGACAACTTGGTGCTAGGGCCCAGCCCTAGCGACTTTTACTCGTGAAGCATGTTGGGCCTGCGTGGCTACAGTGAAGCAGCGAGGTCCAGGACGTGGCGCATGCATGGCCTGAGTAACTTTGGACCCTACTTATCACCTACATTTAGTAACGGCTTTGTATTAAAGGCCCAACAAAAATGTTGGGTATCACCCTCAATTCATGGAGCCCTAGGAGTAAAAAGGGCCCTAAATAAACGTCTGTGACTGCCTTGTACTCTCCAGCAATGCCAGCAGGTCCCAAATTTCACCAATTAGGGCCTAGGCCTACTGTGAAAACTAAATAGGCCTAATATTCATGACGCATGATAAGCCTATGTAGGGGGTAAAATTAGGGATCTTGCAACAACATATACCCATGGATGTCAGGCTATTTACAGCCAGTTCCTCTATGTTTAAATTAATGACTGCCACAATAAATCACAGTATCGGCCTACATACATGTACATGTACCCCCGGAACTGTAGGGTCCAATGTCCGCCCTACTCCCACATTCTGGGGGTAATTGGTAGGCCTACAAGTACTAAGTAGAGCTTGAAGATTACAGGTATGTTGCAGGTGGAGTTACTAATTGTGCACATTATAAGTTCGCTAATTAACTACGTCATCATGTGTACCTGCAAGGCTACAGTGTAATCCATGTAATCCTTGAACCTACATGTTAGCCTACTCAGGCTAGTACTAGTACCTCCCATAACTCATTCAGGACATTTAGTTTTGTGGCCATTTGGAGGACAAAATGCCCTGCAAATTTGCTTGGGCCTTACTATCCGCAAATCATATCGTAAAGTTAAAAAAAGGGCGATAATGTAGGGTCCAAGTTGACTACGGGTGCTAAGAATTGCCTTTCTTATAACGCATTAGCTGATACTCAGTAGAGTCCATGTACCTTTCCCTATTAATCAATTTCACTCAAAATTAGCTTACACACCGTCATACCCTGAACCAAATCATTAGAATTCACCTCCCTCCCCCTGCCAACAGTCCTGAAACTGGCTAATGCACCCACTTTAGGCTTGAGTGGGATTCAAAGATTGAAATGGCGGTGGTAAGGGTTACTCTCACATGGAAAGAAAAGAGCAATTTTCCGTTCAAAGTGGAAAAGCATTTGTCCGCTGAGCTCAAAGTCGCCATGCTCTTTATGTAGCGATCCCTGTACTGTATGCTAACATACCTAAAGACGTTGTCATAACGTGCCCGCAGAGCCGACCATTCACAATCAGCATGCGGTGTCTACGTGCACTATGCTGATGACTAATTCCTGAGTTCAGTAGCTGTGGCCACACTAAGTTGTACACCAGAACCTGCACCGATCATGAAACAGTCATTGGCATACGCGTGCAGACGTCACCCTAATGCTACGCTCAGCTGGCGCATTGTGACATCGTCTTGAGGCACTGTTTGAGTCGCTACTTGAAGGTGGTAACTTTTAGCTCAGCCAACAAGAGGGTTTCAAATTTGAATGGGAAATATCTCTTTTCTTCTCGTATATGAGTAAACCTTCCCATCACCATTTGAATCGTTGATTGCCACTATTGAAGTCCTACAGGTAAACAGGGTGCATTGACAGTTTCAGGACTGTTTGGGGTTTGAATTCTGAGGATTATGGTTCAAAGTACGACAATGTACAAGCTATTCTTAGTAGTGAAATAGATTAATCGAAGGAAAAACTTATGAAGGGTACTTGGACTCTACTATCACCTGACCATTTGTAGAGAGTCCAAGTTACTCAGACCATGCTCGCTATGGCTTGTTTCTTACATGTATCTCTTGAGACGAGTCTACTATGAAGCAGAATTCCACTTTTTCCTAGACAGAGGCCTTTTTTTGGACCACTGAACCACAGATTAGGGTTTTTAACCGGGGATGGGGGAGGTGGAAAAATGGTGATATGGTATTTCAATCCTTGAAGCCAGGACCTGTTGTTTCCATTTTTTAAATTCTTTTTTCTTCCTTAACCCTAACAGCCCTGAATCCTCCAATTTTAATGTGATTTTGCACACACCCTAGGGAGTTAGGGTTAACCATTCACTTCCTGTTGTCATTACAGCTTAGTGAAAGATCGCAATGTTGCCACCAAACGTGACTACTACATTGCTCTGGCTCACGCTGTGCGGGATCACCTGGTGGGACGTTGGATCCGAACACAACAGTACTATTATGAAAAGGATCCCAAGGTAAAACACAGAGATTTCCTGTTGGCCTTTAGCCACTGTTCCTCTGTGCATTGTTTGCTGGTTAACACTTGTCTGTTTCAAACACCGTGGGAAAGTTATCCGAGTGACACGTTATTTAAAGGGTTGTGTAGTGGCTTTTTTCTTATAAATACAAACCTCCAAACTACACCTTTTTGTCTCAGTTAACCTCAGTTTCCATATTTTTTCCATTGCATCAAAGCATCTTCTGCTGCCTTTTTGGTTCATGCTGATGAGTAATTTCCATATTGGCAAGACAACCTGTGACAATATCATTTCCAGGAGGAAAACCTTCATGTTTCATTGATTGGTGCATAAAAACTTAAACCTGCATTTATATAGATTTTTCTTCATTAAGCTTTCTATTCTTTGGTGATCGATTTTTTACATACAGATTGCAACAAGCAAGCAATGAACCTAATTTCCCAGAAGTGTTGACAACCTTATTTCAAAGCATTGACAACCTGATGTTCCAAAAAGTGCACTTTCAAATAGTTTTTATACAAGAAGTGAACGTACATGTATAAAGTTGCAGAAACATTGTGTGCAAGAATACTGTACTGCAGCTACACTGTATTTTGTTTATCACATTGATATTGATAACTATTGTGAAACCACGGTAATATATGAATGCAATGGAACAGTATTAACTTAAGTGAATACATTTTGTTGCAAAACTGTGCATTTCACTGAAATTGTCTTTATACAACAACTTCAACAGGTTTAACCCAATTGAATAATTGGCAGGAAGTGCCGGTACCGTCGTTTCTGTTGACATTTCCAAAGAAATCTTCCAGGAAGCTTTCCAATTCTGTTATTGCCGACACCCCAAACTGTGGATCTCATCCTGTTTTACTGCCGAATTTGCGAACTCCATGTATTCACACAGAATGTTCAGATTGGTACTAATGCTGTCCTGTCACAAATCAATTTTTGATCCCATATTTTGAACAAGAGAAAAACATCTTCAGAGTTGGCCTGTGGTCATATCTGCTGACATTATTACAGTTCCGTGTAAATGACAGTGAAATTGGCACAATTAAGTCTCACAATGGGTATAACAAATGCAAGGTTTGCCTGATCACTGTACATGTACATACATATGTGCATGTGCAAGTTTGTGTGGCCAAGTGGTAAGGGATTGTACCTGTAACTCCCGCTTACATGTAATGTAGGGGTATTTCAAATCCAGCAGCCATATACAGTTACATGGACTAGACACTTTGGGTAAGTCACTTCACTTCCAACTGCAAACGGAAACTTTCCTTTTTTGGCATAACCTTATATAAATATACATGTATCTACCAGTATTGTTTGGAAAATTCTTTGATGTACAGTACTGGGAACAGTACATGCTTGGTTGGTTTCTCGCAGTTGTTACCAAAAACTGGACCATGGCTAGACAGAGGATAATGGCACCTGTGACATTTGATTTCACTTCACACACTTTCAGTTGTTTCCCTTGAATCCCCATGAGTCACTGAGAGGTTTTGATAACTTCGGTACATTGCCAAAAGGGGTTAGTGTTGCTCCATTTATTGGAAATCATTGTAGGTGTGGGAGAAAATGAAATCAAGCATCATTGATTTTGGGGGGAAAACAGGGGTTGAGCAAAAAATGGCCAGTTTAAATATGATGACCGTTGTTTTTTTTAAATACTGGTTGGTGATTCAGATTTTCATTTTGAGATAATACATGGCGCTAAAATTGGGATACGTTTGTACATATTGGTACACTATCATCCACCATGAAGTGCAAAAGGAATGTTTCAACAAGTTCTAAACAAAATTTTGTGCAGATAATGCCTTTGCACTTCCTTTTCCCTTCCTTTTTCAACTTTTCCTTGTTCGAAGCTCAGGTGTTAGGGGGTGGGGATATCAATGTTGGCATCAGGATACCAGGAAATACAATGTACAGGACGTGTACATGTACATACATGTACATTGCAAGAGATTGAAAGCATAGTTGCTGAAATAATAATTTATGCTTAGAACTTTGTGTCATCATATGTATTACATTGTATATGATGGTTGTCAGACTGTCAGCTGTTATGTGCTGGTCCATTGCATTTTGCTGGGTACCGATCCATTGCATTTTGTTGGGTACGGATGTCTTTGAAGCAGAGGGTGGTATTAAATTGCAGGTTGGGCAAAATCACAAGGGCAGATCCAGACCCAATTACATGTATCTGGGGTGGGAAAAAACAACTGGAAATTGCTTTTTGTAACCTTTTATGGCCTTTCTGACAAATTATGCTAATTTGCTTTTATCTCAGGCACATTAAAATTCACGGGTTTGAAAAATTATATTCAGGGGTGACCTTTTTGTGTGAATGACCGTATTTCTGGACATGTTTAACCACCACTGAAGCAGTGCATGCATTTTGTGACTTGATAACCAGTGTGATATCGGTACGTAGACTACATCTACAATGCACACTACACACATGCCAGAGATACCTGTCTCCCTGGCTCGAAAGGCTGAGCCTACGAGCTGACCTATTCCATATCTGACCATGCAAATAGCTAAGCCATTTGATATTTGTGATGATTACTGTTGGCCAACTAGAGTTACATTGCACGTACCAGCATGCTTCTGCATATTGCAGCATCCATTAAAAAATGCATTGTAATCATCATGCAAAGTTAGTCAGCTTAGTTGAACATGTATCTAGGTGAAAGCTTTGATAAATATCAAGATTTTCTAAGATCAAACTTTTGACACATTTCATATACATGTATTTGTTTGAAATCCACAGAAACAAACGTCAATCATTTACAAATCAAATTGGTCTGAGTACAAATAAATGTGTTTGAAATCGTATTTTTATTTTTATCAGTAAGAGCAACCTTGAGCATGTTGAGTTGGGTTTTGATGTTAGCCTAGTCAAAAATACTAGTAAGTCCAAAATAGCGATTTCACGTACGGATGAGACAGTAATCACATACTGCAATTATACATTTTTGTAGATGAAATACTAAACAGGCTAACACTTAACAAGCAATATCATAACACCAAGCCAGAGTCCTTTATGAGAGCACATTGGCAGCCCTGTTTTGGGCCTTATGGACATTTGTACAATTACTCGTTGGCCAGCTTCCTTATTTTATACAAACAAAGAATGAAATTTTGGACGAGGGCAGAAAAAAATTGAATAAAATCCTAAAGGTCTAATTCTCCAAGCAATTAACCTACGTAGGGTGGGAGAGAAAAACGGTCCATGGTTTTTTTTTCAAAATACATGTACCAAGAAAACAGTCCAGAGAAAAATAACGTCATTTTTCCTCCCCCCCCCCCATGGCATTATTCAGTCGTTGGGATCATGATAAATGTTGGTCTTAAACACTAAACAGTGGAGGTTTCCTAAAAAATCCCCAAACAAATTGTACACACGTGTACATCTATACCGGTAGGTTATGTATATGTAAGTGTATGAATCCTATAATTAGGAAGCACCAATGTGGCATGTCATTCAGTGTGGCTCGCATCTACACGTACATGTAACTTTGTTGGCATGGTTGATTTCATACCTGTGCTTGATTTAGGCTAATCAATTCACACATTGCTACCATGTACATGTATGTGTAACTCTACGTATAATGTCAGCCCTGAAGTTCAAAATGTACATGTACATCCCGGGGCAGGAATCAGATCCCCTGTCAAACATGCTTTCCTTGCCGTGTCCTCATGACCTGGATAATTGAGATTTGAATGTCAAGTGTGCTTGATCACTTAAGACTGGTGCTCAGTACAGTGCATAAAATGTGACAGCAGACAGATATTGTAAGATGAGGCTTGAGTTTACATACTGGTACCCTGCATCATCAAACTCCCTCCCCCCAATATACCTACATGTAACAGTACAAAGGGGAAAATAGCAAGACTTTGGGATTCCTGTTGACATTATTTTTGCCTGCTAAAAAAATGACCTGAAATACTTGCATACAGGTATACGCACAATACGTACAAGTATACATGTACATAAACATGCCAATTTTTTCTTTTTCCTAGCGTGTGTACTATCTATCTCTAGAGTATTACATCGGCCGTACTCTCACAAACACCATGGTGAACCTTGGAATCCAAAGCCAGTGCGATGAGGCATTGTACCAGGTAAGTTTGCAAGGAATCTTTTTTTTTAATTTTTTTTTTCAGTTGATGTCCTGAATCAAATATCAAAATGGTGTCTCACATGTATTTCTGTGTGTTCTGCATTGCCCGTTAATTGCTGATTGAGAGCAATCAGCACCCCTGAGGTTTAGCTGGCTGTTGTGTTGGTCAAAAAAATTAAGATCTAACAGTACCAGGGCGTTTTGGAGGATTTTACTGGTACAAGATCATTTAGGGAATAACATACATGTACTAGTTCATGTGTAATGATAAAGGTTCTTTTACATGCAATGTTTATCGTGGTCCTTAAATTAAGAGTTGAAGTAATGTCTTCCGAGAATTCTGCTCAGACATGAGAGACTTGGACGACAAGAAGTTCAGCATACCTTACGAAGGTTATTACAAAGCAAAATCAGGTGTACTGCATGTACAGGTATAGAAAGGGGTTGACCCTTCATAAATTTTAAATTTGAGAAAAAAAAAACCTGAGAGGGATTTGTGGGTTGGTGGGTGTGAGTTTGTTTCTGCATTCAATTGGGGACCCTGAACAAAAGAGGACAATAAGGTCCCCGATTGACAGAGGGTCCCAATTGACAACTGTGCACAAAACATATGGGTGGTCTTCTAAAAAAGTTAAAGTAGAAACAAAAGAGGAACAATAGGGGGTCCCCAGTTGCAGGCAAATACACACTTGTGTGTGTGGGGAGGAGGTGATAACAATCCTATATCTCATTGTGAGAATTATACATGTACATGTACCTTTGTACCTCCCCTTCCAAAAAAAATTCACCTGAAATATCTTACCAGTAAGTTACGCAACATCTGCACCAAAAGGCTTCAAAAACAACGTTATCTGTAAAACATCCATGATTACTGGTAATTTATACCATACTCAGAACCAGTGCCAATGTTAGGGGGTGCCACGTGCATAGCGTACATGTACAGTGTGGGCAAGAAGAAAATTGATGGAGCTTTCTTTACTTTGTACGATGTTACACATGTAGTGAACTCTACCGAGTGAGCTCACTTGAACTGTTTACAAGCATCATCGTGTTTTATTTCTAGCATGTTTGAAGGTTTTCTTTAATAAAAAATGTTGCTGCGTGCAATTGTCTTTGCAGCTTGGTTTGAACATTGAGGAGCTTGAAGAAATTGAGGTGGATGCTGGCTTGGGAAATGGTGGTCTCGGGCGTCTGGCAGGTTAGACATAAAACGAGAAGCCTTCTTGATGTACATGTATGTACATGTATTTCATGTGAATGTAGAATCATGAGAACTTAGTTCAAGTAAAAGCAAGTGCTGCAGTTATAAAGATACATATGTACACCTACGGTACGTGTATTGGTGAGTGTAGGCCTTCACCTGGTTAAGGGGACAATTTCTTTTATTTGGCAAATTAGGAATAAGTTGTGGGAACATTTCTCTGTCCCCAAAATGTTTTCAGTCCCTACGTGGGTGAAACATCGTGTGCTTGTCTCCACAACTACTGAACAAGTGTGGGTGTGTTTAAAATGTCTTCTTTTTCCACGCATTTGACAGGTGTTTGCATATTAGCGTATTCCAGGGTAGAAATACCAAAGTCTATGTTCAATGAGCTACATGTACAATGCTGGTGCAGTACATGTCATGCAGTACCTGCACGCGTATACCTAGGAACATGTACATGTACACACTACTGTCATTGAAATTCTTTAACAGGAAAATGATGAAGTGTCCCAAGATTTCTGGTGCTAAATTCCTACCTGAAAATGAAAATCAGAGTAACTTGCCACTTAATGCTTAAAAAGATTTTTTTTTAAACTGAAACAAAGCACAACAAAAGTGAAGAAAACAGACAATATCGATTCAGTATGATTCAGCAGCAACCAGTATGGCCACTTCCCATTCTCAACGCAAGGAAGTGCAGAGTTTATGCTCGTCAGCAGAGTAAAAGTGATGACCAAATGTCTTACTCGATCACTGTCAAATGATTGGTGCTTGAACATAGACGGGGCGATTTGCGGGATTAGAAGATCTAGTTTAATGAAGCTGTCAGGAAGACTCCAGCCTGTGCATGATACATTGTACATATGCGTGTGATAATGCATGCACTTGTAAATCATATACACACGTACATGTACAGGTAGCTCCAAGCTGGTGCATATGGAGTGAACGCTGAATTCCATGATGCATAAATACATGAACATGCAGAATACATTGGAGTCATTATTCAAGAAGTGGTTCATCACTGGACAAAATAATGTCCAGGTAGCATGCATTATACATGTAATTCATGCAGCCTATGACCATGATTTGACAGTCATTGTCTTGTACTGTACTTCATTGTCAGTGCACTGCATGTACAAATGTATGTACATGGCTACACACCTGCAACATGAAAGACTTTGCAAAGTGCACCAGCGGAGGCTACATTAGGTTTTTGCTGTGCATTCAAACACTTGATCATGTAAGCCATTAATACATGTATGTGTACCTCTGGCATAGTTACTAGTACATATAATTTTTGTAGCAAGACTCTACTCAGCAGATGTACATGTATGTACATGTTGCCACGGTAATAAGGTCAGCTCATTATTTTGGGGAAGGGATGAGTGGTCATCAATTATCAATGTTGGTTTTAAGATGAAGTGGGTGTTGATTACACTCCATGTGAGTGATTTGAAAACACCTGTGCATTGTTGCGTTACCCTGACATGATGCACTTCAATTTTTTGCCTCTAGAGCCTTACACCTAGAGTAATATTTCACTTTTAATATATTTTACCTCAAATTTTGCAATAAGTGACGTTTTATCAAGCCGTCAGCATTCCCATTGATTATTTTGGAATTAACATGCCGACTACAAGGTTCCAACGAAATTATTTTTTTGCCTGAGTCTCTGAATTTTTTTTTGGGGGGGGAAGTGCACAGTGAACTCTTTAAGTGCACCCAAAAATAAAAGAATATTTTTCTTACAAACTTTTACATGTACTTGGGTATGTGAGTGGAAATGTTAATGTTGGATTGGATTGTCTGCACGGGTGATTTGTGTAAATTCGCACTAGGGAACACTCAGCTGAATTTGTGCCCAATTTCTGGATGCCATTTTTTTGAATTTCGGACAAAAATCTGTACAAGTCAAATGGTTCACAAAGGTTCAACAAATGATTTTACTGAATGGATTTAAATTTTTTCGAAAAAAGAACTTTTGCAACACTGCATGAGGAAAGTCAATGGAAAAATTGAGTGCACCATATTATGGGACAGAACTGCATACATACATGTACATTACATTACACACTGGCAGCATGCCGCACATACTGTTAGTACCCGATTTAATGCATGGGGAATATCACATGTGAGTTTATGTGCATACAGTATATGGACACAAACTGCATGTACCATGAACATGCACCAGTGCTCGTATGTGCTACTCATTGTGTATTGAATTGTGCATTTTTAGTAGTGTGAGATGAGAAATACATGTACATGTAGATGCTGTATGTAGATCAGTCTGTTACAATAAACAAACACATGAACATGTTTGATGAATTAAGTCACTTCTCCACAAACACACTTTTGATCCATCCTTCTTTCTCCGCGTAGCTGGGTCTACAACTAATCAAACCTGTAATTGAATGCCAGAACGCCAGACTTCAAACTGACCGATTACAGATTTGGAGTACAACTTGCCCTTTTTTTTTGAAAGAAACAAACCAGTAATAACAAATATGGGGGGCTTAAATGTTGGTATTTTTGCAGCCTGTTTCCTGGACTCCATGGCCACTCTTGGCCTAGCTGCCTATGGCTACGGTATCCGCTACGACTATGGCATATTCAGTCAACAAATCAAAGATGGACGACAGGTAAGCCAATCTCCATGGCCGAATGTTTCATATGGGGGTGGGTTCAACAGTGCAGTACGTGTGCTTACTGGTATGTATGCGTACCTTTTTTTCCGGCAGGAGTACAGGTGTACATGTATTTTATCATGAATGGATACATGCACTATTCAACCCAGCCCTGCTTACTGGGGAGTATGTTTATTTTTGTTGATGATAGTGAGTGAATGTCTGTCTTAGCAAATGAGAAGTCAAATGCTTCAAAGCTAGCGATTACAAGGTGGGTCTAACCATTTACAACAGATTGTGCACAAAACAGTTGCTGGTCTAAGGAGCTGGAAAACGTGCCATTGGTTTCTTGTGCAGTGGGTGCTTAAATGTGTGCAGGGAATGAGGATAAGTGAAGCAAATGAATAAACACATTACGAGTACAAAGACACACTGGCTGTATTGGAGCACTTTACTCGTTTTGGTATGATTATACTCCAGGGTGCATAAACAGCAGGAGTGTGGCCTGCAGGAAAGTGAGAGTATACCCTCCATCAGGCTGGGTGTATATTCTTGTGTCATGTACATGTATTTGTTTCAAGTTGGTGAGATGGTAAATGGGTAATTCCATAATTTAGGGGTCCATTTTTTTCGTGTCCCTGTCACATCTGCCATATGATTTTTGTAAGTTCAGAACACATTTTCTGATTTCCAAGAGTGATGAATTGATGCAGATTACCTGCCAAACAAATAGTAATAGTTTGAAATCAATTCCGCTGGTATTTCCATGTAAAATAACAAAGGTCAGACGTAACAGAGACACGAAAATGTCACCCTTTGGACCCTTAATTTCTGGAATTACCCAAATGCATTCCATTCATGTGCTGATCTGAGATAAATGCCTTTGCAACATTTTCCTGTACCCCCCGAGTATTGAGAGTAAAACGTATAACTGCAGCCGTGATTCAAGATGTGCATTCCTGTATTTATTGGCAGCATTGATGGCTGGGATGAAGTCCCAATTCTTTGTGTTCTTGTATGTCATCCAGTGCCGTAGTCTAGTCTAAAAGTCCTTGCCCGTCCATCACAAGTCATCCTGTCTTCTCCTAAGTCACTAGCTGTTGAATTGAAGTGTGACAAAAGCATTCCTTTGTCATTGTTCGCCCCGTTGTGCCTGACCCTGTGTGAGGGCTTGCAACTTGAGTGGGGACGGACTTGAATGCAACACTATTGTTTGCGTTGTCGTTTTGTTTTGTTCTGTGATGCACAGGTGGAGCTGCCAGATGATTGGCTACGTTTCGGCAATCCGTGGGAGAAGGCGCGGCCTGAGTACATGATCCCGGTCAACTTCTACGGGCACACAGAGCACAGAGATGGCAAGGTCAAGTGGGTGAACACAAACGTGAGTGTCACCAGGAACAGAGTAGGAACCAGGATCTAGGATTTGTGGCACTTTGTTATTCCATAGTTATGGATGCCTCGGGCCTCCGTTATTCAGAACAGCATAGAATCAGTTGGAGAGATGATAACTCTTGCTTAAATCCTACTTCACCACTGTGAAAATTGCACTTTAAATTATCACTAAAACATTCATGAGGCATCATGAATTGGCGTTTTGCGAGTTATAAAGTGTCAGTTATGCTACCGGTAAGCATTGCAAGCTTTATCTAGGAAACCTGCAAATTTAAATTTGAAAGAAGGTCTCTCAACCTTTTTTGTCCAGGCTGATTGTCACATCGAGTTTTAGCGCCAACATCACCCTTGAGTTGGTGTATTGTGCTTTTACCTATTGACTGATTGTACAGCGAGGTACTGTAGACTGATCACCTAGAGACCGAGAGATCGACTACTTACACCCAAAGGTCCTAATTTGTTATCATCTTGCAGGTTGTGTTTGCCATGCCATATGACTCACCAGTCCCCGGTTATCGCAACAACACTGTCAACACCATGCGGTTGTGGTCTGCCAAGTCACCAAATAGCTTTGATCTTACTTTCTGTAAGCTGTGCTGGTTATTTTATTATTAATTAGTGCCCACCAATAATTAGGGTGCATGAAAGACATTTAGATGTCAGTATTTTGGGCATTGGGCAAATTCAACAAGGGGTTTTGTGGGTATACGGAGTCGCTGATGGAACTTGGACTTGAGTTGTCATCTCTGACTATAGCTGGTTAACCTGGTGCTCTAATGGCCAAAAGCTAAATCCATGGTGTAGAATGCCCAGTTGCGGCTGCAGCCTGTCACGAAAGATGGCAGACTGCTGTGGACTGTGGGAAATCCGTTGTAGAGGAGATCTGTAGTGGTAATACGTAAGTAGATTTCTTGTCACAAAAAAGCTTTCTTAGGCCAAGTGTCTGTTTCATCTGACTTGATAGTTTCAACATTTTCATTCCATGAATGTTTTTTTTATCTTCCAGTCAATGACGGTGATTACATCAAAGCGGTACTGAACAGGAACGAAGCTGAGAACATTTCCCGAGTGCTGTACCCAAATGACAACGTAAGTCTGGATGTATGGTTTACTGCAATTAACTAGTTCAGTTCAGATGCCGTTAATTTCTGATTTGAGGGCCTGTTTGTTTCATACAGATCTTGATCTTGATCAGTAGTCTCCAAGGCTTGTTTGTGCTAGCCATTAGACAGGTTCTGGTTTCAGTGAACCGACGTTGGTTCACTGATTACGATCCGGATCTGTGCGAAACAAATAGGCCCTGAGAGAATTACAGTGGCGAACGCTAATGATTGCTTACCAAATGTATGCATACACTTTCTTTGGAGATGCACAAAAAAAAAAATGCATGGACGTTTCCTGCCATTTTGAGCCGGCTATGACAACTTCGCCCCAGATGACATCTAAACTTGCAGGAATTTCCTGTGTAGAAGTATGGAGGACTTCTAAATATATTCCTGTAAATTCTGCACATGCTTTCCGATGTCAGTAGTCATCCTCATACTGGGTTTGTGCACACATAGAGGCATGAAGAAGATACTAAAGGTTGAACGCGTGTGTGGCGCCCTCAAGTGAGCATGGGCCACAGCTGGGCATTGTGTCAGATATTGCTCTTCGGTGCGGTCTCCAAATTGTTTAAAAGTGATAATGCGATTAGAAGTGTTGCACAAATCTTGAACTGTCCACTGCCAGGGGTCAGCATTTGGAAAGTCCAACTTTTCGAAGGACCGTGGCGTGTACCTTCTTGTTTCAAAAAGGCGGTATTTTTAGATGAAAATGATACCACGCCACGTGACAAATGCGACGTGGAATCATACCATCAGCAGTTGGTTAACGTACCATGGGAAATCAGTTTTTGCTGTGTGTTTTCGTTTTAATGAATCAAGAAATGAAACGAATGTATGAAATGTTGTCAGGTTGTTGAGGGCAAGGAGCTGCGTCTGAAGCAGGAGTACTTCATGGTGGCTGCCACACTCCAAGACATCATCCGACGCTTCAAGTCCTCTCGCTTTGGTAGCCGGGACCCTGTCAGGACTTCCTTCGACACCTTCCCAGACAAGGTAGAGAACAATAGGGAACAAGATTACTATGTAGGATGAAAAAAGGGGAGTGGGGGAAGACAGAAAATGCTGTCAAGTGTGTTGATTAGGGCAGTGACTGAGAGCAAGACACCTGTCCATGAGGTGTGATTGCAGCAGATAAGCAGTGGCTTGTGTATGTATATACATGTAGGCGCACTTGCATTTTTCCATTAGACAGATTTTTGTGTTTGAGAAGACTGGAACATTATAATCAGGCAGTGCAATTTATTTATGGATCAAGCTCATTTTATGATACTATTACCTGTGATTCTTTTGTCAAGTTATTTCCAAAAGCTAATCACCTTTCAAAGTGTGAACTCAAGGCAGAATCTGATCCTCATCACAGACGACCATGCACTATCACAGAATGACCGCGACGGCAAATTGGGTTGCTCATGGACACCGACTGCTCAATATGAATAGTCCCATTTGTTGTAATCCCCTGAGCAAATGACCTGACCTTTGTGGCCTCTCTTTGTAGGTTGCTCTGCAGTTGAATGACACCCACCCTGCGCTGGCCATACCAGAGCTCATGAGAATCTTGGTGGACATTGAGAACGTTCCCTGGGATAAAGTAAGTGCAAAATTTGTAAATGTTCAGCCCCCTCCAGGGTTTGGGAACCCAGGATGAAAAAAAATACCTGTAATTCTGTTTTTCTTCCCTGAGGTAAAATGAGTGGAAATTCGTAAATATTCAATTCATACAAGGACAGGGAACTTGACAAGAACAGATCAAATGCATATACAAATAAGGTTTTAAATATTCCCACGTATGAAGTATAAGTATTTGCAAATCAGAAATTTTGCTTCATCCAGATGTTGCATTTTATTAGTAACAGGCAAAGTCCAGAGTTCTGTTCCTCAATTTGTCTCAGTAGAGATTATTTTTTTCCTGTAGGAATTCCAGGCAGCTTTTTTCCTTGGAGGGGAGGGAGGAATTCCTCCTGCTGTCTTGAGTTGGGCTGAGTTTCCGACATCAGACATTTTCTGACCACTTGCAGTATTTGTCCAACCGAAAGCGTGTGTGATTGGACAAAAATGTCAGTTAAAAAATACGAAAATGAAAGTGCGACAGCAAAATCTTGTCGGCGTTTTACTCTGGGTCTTGTGTTTATATTGAAACTGTACGTTTCCATGAGACCTTGGTATTTTCATGTATATGACTGATCAAAGGCTGATTATAGCAGAAGGAAATTGATCATGTCCGTATGTCTTGCTGCTTCACTTTCTGGGTCTAATGTCACACCCTTTTTTGTAACAAATTATTTTGGCAGGCATGGGATTTAACAGTCAAGTCCTGCGCTTACACCAACCACACCATCCTTCCCGAGGCCCTAGAGCGCTGGCCTGTGCAAATGCTAGAGACAATCCTTCCTAGACATCTGCAGATCATCTACGAGATCAATGCCCGTCACATGAAGGTCAGCAGCGTGGTTTGGGGTGGGGGAGAGTGTAGAATTGGTTGATTTGCCAAAGTAAGCTTGTCCAGAGATATATTCCATTTCTGTGCACATGATGCCATTGCACCTATGTCCTGGTGTTTATGGAACATACCCCAAAATTGTAAACGTTGGTTAAAAAGTTTGAAAATGGCTGATAGCAAGACTTATTGCATTTTATCATTCAGCACGTTTTGTGGTTGACCTAAGAGATTTTTATCGAGTGTCATGTGTTTACCTAAATTAAGTTTTGATGTGCAAGAATTGTTTGACTTCCACACTCAGAAATTGCTTTGGCATGTAATTGCTCCATGCTTCATCTCAAAAAAATTGTTTGGGTTTTATTTTAATCATAACACCCAATGTGATCTTTTAATATCCTATCCTGAGGACCTGACCCTCAAGGGTGACAGCAAGGGAGTCTTTCTGCTTTGCAGTTAGCTCCTGCTGCAGCTCGGTGCTAAAGCTGAGGTGTATGGTACTCTGACTTTTCATGAGTTACAGTACTGGCTTTGTCATGCCTTTAATAGATGGTCAGTGACTTGTACCCAGGTGACATGGACAGGATGCGGCGCATGTCCATTGTGGAGGAAGGCCACGAGAAGCGCATCAACATGGCCCACCTCTGCCTGGTGGGGGCTCATGCCGTCAATGGGGTGGCGGCCATTCACTCGGAGCTTCTCAAGACGAAAGTGTAAGTGAAAATCGCTCAGATATTGCCAGAATGCAGCACCCTGTTTCTTTGGACTGCATGGCGGTCTTCACGTCCCAGTTCCTGCCTACTTTCCTTCTGTCTTGGCCTAATGTTTGAAGAGATGCGAGGAAAGCTGTACAACTCAGCAGTACGCGCTGTGTAGGGGGAAGAAACTTCAAACATTCTAAACGTTTGACTTGCTTCTTTAGGGAACATTCCAGAGAAAACACAAAAGTGGCTCTGGTAACTTCTAGGTCATTTTTGCTGAGTAGTTCCCAAACGGTCTTCAAGTACACTTGTAACTTCTGCCACCCTCTTTGACCTCAGTTTCCAGGACTTCTACGAGATGTTCCCAGAGAGATTTCAGAACAAGACCAACGGTATAACCCCTCGGCGCTGGATGCTGCTCTGCAATTTGGGACTGTCGGAGGTCATCGAAGATGTAAGACAATTTTCTTTTTATTATGCGGCACTCTGCTTGTAGACTAATCCGAAGAAGAAAAATTGTTACATTACTTAGGTTTCGCGAAAAACCAGTGCACTCACAGTTTACGTAACCCTCCTATGCTG